TTTTTTGTTGCCTCTTCTTCCTCTTTTTGTGACCTCTACCAATGAGTCAAGGGTACAGAAGGTCATGGCCTTTGTGTAAAAAATTTAAAAAATCAATTAATGTAAATCTGTACAATGCTGTTACTATTGACAAGTCAAGGAGCTGTATTGACAACTGTCGCGGCCCTATTGACAACATATTTTCCTATTTCGCAGTAAGGGTTTCTAATCACACCAACCTTCATCTTTCTCATCAATTCCCCTTGAACCATATCCAGACAGAGCAAGCCTACCTTTAATCCACCCACAATATACCCAGAAACAAAACATCCATAATCACTCTACTCACCTATAATAAAACCCCAACTTGAATGACCAAACACAAACCAAACCAAAAACACAAGCGATTTTTGCCAATGATTGACATTAATAGAGTCGATGAGATTTTCAGATGGGAGTGGGGGAAGAAGCAGAATGAAGTTTGGGGTTTTTCTCTCTTGCTTCCTGCATATAGAGTGCTGATTTTCAGACTGAAAAACAGGGTAGCTTTGAGTTAGTTTTGATGCATCTCACCAGGGGCAGAGGCGTCTTTTTACAGTTCACCAAATTGTATTCAAGTCCCTTTGGGACTTCAGAATCATTACCAAATTTCCTAGGACCTTTTTGTAGTATTTTGTGTTACATGGGACCTCAATGTCATTTTCCTTTTATATTTAACACAGGAAGAGTACATACTTTTACGACTTCATGAAGCTCCAAGCTAATCCGTTAAACTTTGTTTTTGACTATTAACCTTAGTGGTTGAAGAAATAACTAATTAAACTATAATAATGGGAACTTCTCGTGTCAAACAAATATTTGGCCATGCAGGCATATGACATAGAATAATTACTAGAGCTGGGAAAACAGGCCGGCCCTGCAGGGCTGGCGAGCTTAAAAGGGCTGACCCTCCGGGACCGTAATTTCAAAAATACCTTAATTTGCTCAGACTGGCCTATGGACTTTTGGTCTGTTTTAAAAAAAAAATTTGTTTTTCATATTTCTGACATGTTTTATAAAAAATAAAAAATAAACTAATAAAATTACTAGTAAAAGATAGAATATGAATAAAATTAAGTCACAAATATAAAAGATCATCATATCCAAATGTCCATCAACATACAAAAAATCTAAAACATCTATTAGACATAACAAGTCAATAACATTAACATCAATAAGTTCCATTAAAAGTAGACAAATGCTTTCACTAAAAAAAAAGAAAAAGTGGACAAACACTATCGTCACTATCATCAATTGTAAGAACATTTGATTGTGCTTCACTAGTAATAGGCTCTTCTTAACTTTTAAAAATATCAATGATTTCTTCTTAATACTATTTAGCTATTATGGAGTCTAATATGTTTTCTTTTGTATTTTTGAATTGAATTTTTTCCCACCAATAAGTTTATTTAAAAGTATCAATGTTAAGTTTGTTCTAGAGGTTTCAACTTAGCAACTACTGGGGATTGATTCTATGTTGTCTACTTACTATCTCCGATCCTAATTATAAGACCCTGTTTGTAGTCTACAAATGGGGTCTTATAATTAGGACCGGAAGTAGTATTTTTTTTCCTCAGGCTTTAATTGTGAAAATCACTTTGCTACACAGTCTTATGGGAAGTTTGAAATATCTTAGCACTTTGAATTAATCCATAGTATCCTTTTAATGAGCTAACTGTGTCATCTTTTTTTTTTTTTTGGTTTTGTTCAGAATGGTCACTTTTGGTTTTGTCTAGCTCACTTGTCTAACTTTATTTAAATATAGAGTAAAAATTTTGATATAGTCACTATAGAAAAAGTGTTAACTTATTTATTAAAATTTTATAACATATATACAAATTGATACATATCTGTTGGTTCAACCATTAAAATTTTTATTTTAATACAGGGAATATATTTTAATATATAACTGTTGATTCAAATAAATACAAATTTGAAATTTGATTTAAAATATAGAGAATATATTTTTATTTATTTTAACATCATTAAAGACTGAGGTATGAGTTGAAAGTGAATGAAAGACTGAAAGTAAAACTTAGAGAGGAAGAGTATGTAAAATGTTAGGGATGTAGGGTTTGTTTGGTTGGAGAGAAGGGAAGAGAAGGGGAGGGGAGGGGAGGGGAGGGGAGGGGAAATGAGCCCCTCCTCTCATTTGGTTAAAAATTTTGGAGGAGAGGGAAGCCAAAATGTCCCTCCTCTCCCTCCCCTCCCCCCATTTTAGCTCCCTTGCAAATTGGAGGTTTTTGGATGAGAGCTAAAATTTTAGATCATCATACCCTTATGATTTTTTTAATATTCCACTACTACACATAAAATATATTATTATAATATTTATTTTAAATAAAAATATATTATCTTAAGTAAAAAAATAAAAATATATAAATTATTATAATTAAAAATATATTATAAAAGAATTAATTAAAAAAAAATTATTTAAATAAAAAATTATAATATCATAAAATTAATTTTTTTTTTAAATATATTATTTATTAAATATATTTTAAAGCTGACAAAAGGATAGCCTAAAGAGAATAAAATTTCATTTTTCTTAGAGCATATAGAATTTATTTAATTATTTCAAATATATTATTATATTAATTAGAATAAAAAATTACTGTACCAATTTTTCAATGCATATATTAACATGATAAGATTGAATTTTCATTAAATTATATAATTTAAATTAAGATGTAAATTAATTTATATAATATATCAATAAAAAATATAAACTAATATATAAGTGTAAAATGGTAAATTATTTATTACTATCCCTTCCCTTCCCTTCTTGAACCAAACGAGAGATCATTAAATAGCATTCCCTCTCTTTTTTTGAATCAAACCAAATAAGATGAGGATAAAACCCCCTCCCCTACCCCTCCCCTCCCCTACCCCACCCTCCCCTCAAACCAAACAGGCCTTTAGGTTAGGGTCAAGAAAAAAATATAAATTAAGAAAAAAAATTACTGTTGGTGGGCTTAAACAAGCCGGCTTTTTTATTTTTCAGCGCTGCAGGACTGGCCCTTTTAGGTCCAAGTTTCCTTTAGAGATCCCAATTACAAGTCTAGCCCTCAACTCAAACAGGCTTAAATGGACCGGCCTGACGGACTCGACCAGTTTTTTAGCTCTAAATTAATTACGGATCTGCAGGGGTCTCAATGATTCTTCTAACCCCCCATAATTCATAACAGGAAAAATTTGCCTTGATGGTGACGGACGATGACGATGATCTCCAACAAAAGTATTCAAGTTGAAGGGAAAATCAGAAGGCGATATATTTTTAATCCTTTAATTTTGTACAAGGTTTCTGTTTGGTCCCTTAACTTTAAAAAGTATACTTTTAATCCTTTAACCCTAAATTTTTTTAAAAAAATGATGACATTAAGATCTTAAATGTTAATAAAATATTCTCAAATGCTAACATATTAAGTTTAATTTTCAAAACATCTATGATTATTGCAAAAAATCATCATCGAGTCCTAATAATTTTAGGATTAAATGACTAAATGTATATTTTTTAAAGTTAAGGGATCAAATCAAAACCATGTATAAAGTTAGAGGACTAAACATATATTTTGGTCAAAAAAATATTAAAAACTTACTAGAAAGTAATGACAATTACGCGTAGCTTACTCAAAATTCAAATTCAAAGTACTTATATGTATTTTCACACTTTCAATATATATATTGTTATGTCCTATAAAGCTATGGTAGAAAGCTTGTGATAGAATAAAATGAAACAGTCAATAGAATGGAATGAAAGGTTCCATTATTTAAAAGTTTTATATTCGTGAAGGAATTATTTCACTCGATTATTATTTTAAGAGTTAATTGATGTAATATGAAATTGAATGGAGTAAAAAAGGACACAACTATGTTTTTTCAATTTCAGACTTTTTAGCTAACTCAGAAGGAAGATTGTTATGAGTAAATTTTTTTTTTTAGCCTTTCCTTCCTATATGATAATTTGGTAAGAACATCTTAAAAAATAGTAATAATAATCGCCGTTGCATCAGATTTATTCATAATTATTTCTTTTTTTGTACGTAAGCTTTTGTTATCAAATAAAAAATTACATCGGTGATATTTGCAACTGAACACTATTTAAAAAATATATATAACATATTACTCATCCACTCCTTAGTATAAAACCTAATTGTTGAGTTGATTTTGGTCCTAAATATAAGATATATTTCTTATATTTATCAATTTTTTTCAAATTACCTTTATGAATACTCCCTCAACCATAATCAAGTAAAAAAAAAGAGAGGAAGAATATTAAAAAAGATGATTATGATGTTTTAGGAAAAACATGTTATATTTTTTATAATTAACCAACTTACCTAACTTTCTTAATCTAATCAAATTAGTTAAATATATTTTATATTAAGGACTAGATGAGTATAAAGTTTTTATATGGAGCATTATCATTGGTTTATACCGGATGGAAAGGGGAAGGACTGTTCTGCAAGCATTATCATTAGTTTAAACTTTAAACAATATTATGAATAGGGAAAACCATATTGGAGGTACCTATACTTTCTCTCAATTTTTAATTTGGTACCTATGTGTTTTTTTCCCTTTAATTAAACATTTAATTTTATACTTTTAGCAACATTAGCTCTTATAACTTTGTTCTATTGATATTTTTAGTCTCTACATAAGGATTAATGATGTTAATAGAGCAAAATTAAAGATTTAGTTAAGAATAAAAAACACATAGGTACCAAATTGAAAATTGAGAGAAAGTATAGGTACCTCCAATATGGTTTTCCCTTATGAATATAAAAATATTTATATAAACACAAATCAATTTTAGTAGCCTTATTTTTTCCCTTCACGGAATGGTTCATCTCTCACTCAATCAGAATATTGCTTGATCATCGAGTAAGGGGTTGGGTTTCAATAAAACTGAGTCATTTGAAATTTCTGAAAAATAGTAATTAAACTATTCATAAGAAACAATACATTTACAGGTCTTGCAATCAATGAACAACTTCATCTCCATTCCAATTGTTCTTCACCTTCGGACCAGTGGGTCCTTCCTCTCCTAACAGTTCATTCGGCAAGCTTCTCACCAATTTCTCCAAAAGCTTTTTCAACTTCCTAGGCAACCATTTCTCCATCTTCTTCAGCTCTTCTGCAATATCATAGCTTATCTTTGGACCCCATTCTCTAAAATAGTTCAGCCATGGCAGCTCCACAATCTCTGACCTCAGAGACTCAGTGGAAACCACTTCATATCCTACCCCCATGTCCACTACCAAATCACTTTCCGCAGTATCGTTCCTAAGTCCAACACTATTAGTCCCTTGAGGATTGAGCCCTGCTCTAGGGTAAAACGCATGGCCATAAAGTGAAGAATATACGACGGGTTTGTTTCCATTCTTGAATTCAAGATTGAAGGAATCAACCCAAGTACCGCCACTGTGTTGCGAGAAATATAGCTTTCTGAGTTCTCCATCGAAATTGCTCACTCTTAGTGTCACGTGTTCCCAGTCCCCCACATGTTGGCCAATTTTCCCTAGTGAAATAGTGATGAACTCTACTTTTGCTCTTGCTGGTCCATTGAATGGATAGTATACCCAACAGGCTATGTCTGTGAATGTTCCACCAAACATGGGTTTTATGTGCAGATATGCTTTTGAGCTTTGTAAATCACCCCTTTTAACTCTTTCCTTGTTGGCTTTGTCTGCTGGAAGATCTAGCCAATAGGAGCCATCATTGTTATGATCTTGGGGAAGATTAGTGCCATTTGGTTGTATTGGGGTAGGTTGTGATTCTTCTCCTCTTTTATAGAGCAATCCTCCATTGGTGAAAAACCAATTTACAGAGGAAGGGAGGTATTGTTCTTTAGGATGTAGGTACATTATTGGAGAGTAAACTTGGACTATTGCTTGAATTTGTTTTAGATTTGGCATAGAGGTGAAGTTAACGTTGGTGTTTTTCAAAGAGGACATAGCCAAAGCACCGGTAATTCCACCATTTTGAGCTAGAAATGTTCCTACAAGAAGTCCTGGGGCTTGGGTTCCCCTATTTCTTGGTCTTGTTTCATAGAGATTGAACCCATTGGAGTCATTGGATTTTCCTGGCCCCCAAATCCATCCGTATGTCTCAATCTCATCAGTGAGGTCTGACCGGACACATCGAACTTTGTCCAAGGAAGGCTTGTCTGGTGTTGTGGTCACAACATGTCCTGCTGCTATATAGCCATTCGGAGGGCTTGGTTGCCAAAAATAGGCTGAGCCATTTTGATTGACTTTTAAGGACTTGGTGTTCCATATCAAACTGTAGTCAAGTGGTTCCTTTAGAGCAGGGCTACTGGTTGAAGAGTTATCTTTGGCCAAAAGAACCCACCCAGAAAAGGGCTTGTTGTTAGGTTGGCTATAACAACCCAACATACAGAATCTTTCTGGTAATCCTGTTGGTTCAAAGATTGTAGCGCCAAGATTACTCAGACCACCTTCGTAGGATGTCCATACTTTGTTAAATGTTGAAACCTGCGCCACTTGTAGCTCACCCAAATTGACGATCCCACTAGCAAATCCATCACCTACGTACATGTAAAATGATAACAATCCTTCCTCATTGTGACAATATTTGACATAATTAATACTTACGTACGTCAAACTGTACTTAAAACCTCACATATTTTGTCCTAAACCAGAGTACAATCTGTGACACATGGGGTGTTGGGCATGTTTAATATATGAAATAAGTTTGTTTCTGGAAGTCTAAATGCTTTGCAGAGAGATGCTCCAAATATGGAATATGAAGCTTAAGTGTGTCTAACAAGTGTTCAAGACCTGTGCCAAACTTGTTCTGTTATGTAATTATTCATAATTGCTCTGCGTCTGTTATGTTCTGCATCTTTGCTTTTTCTTTTTCGAATGTATCTTTGCTTTTAAACAAGAAAGGGGGGAAAAAATAAAATAGTATATGGAGATAATAATTATTACCTGGTGGCCAAACCGGTGTTGGAGCAGGAAGCTTGAAGGTGGTATCAATGGGAAGACTTTGATCCTTCCTGGTAAGACAATTCCCCATCTCTGTTTTTGATCACAACGAAAATTGAATCCAAAGGTAAGCTGAATATAATGGTCTTATACAATAACTACGGAATTTGCGAGGAGCATATTCATTTCATGACAGAAGAAGTTTGAGTGAAAACAAAATTGATGATGTGTCGTGCAAGGAAGCCATTTTATCTCTATATGCATATAATTTTCTCTTTCTTGCCGTTCTTGTTAATGCTACCTTGTTAACCTTGAATCCTTCTTCAAGATGCATGATTTTTAATTTGAATGCTTGACTCTGATTTAGAACAAGCGTGAAAGGGATCATATTATAAATAAGTAAAATAAGATGCAGGATTTTCAATTTGGGGACATGTCCTTTTGGGGGTTTGTTAACGAGGATATATCTGACTATGTAAGAAAAGACATGCACATAAGTAATTGCTTGCCAGTAAACTTGGATTTCCGAGTTGCCATTCGTAACGAACTAATCCTCCAATGGCTCACTTTCTTGTGTTTTTCATTTTATTCTTGAAGGACTCAAACATCTCATTTTAAGCCACCATCGTTAAATACTCTCAAGGGCTATTTCCTTTTGGTTAAGAAAATCAACTGCGAATTATTTCTTTTTGGTCATATACAAATATCATGCGACATAATTAAAAAAATTTTGTAAAAAATGAAAATGAGAGAGGGACCGTAGACGAACACGTGATATCCCTTCCATCTATCCCCGACCTTTCTACCTCCTCCAATGTCAATCCTCAAAGCCCACACGATCTGATCGGTCACTTGTTTCCCTTAGATTTGAATGTCACCCTCAAACGATCTTAACCTTATCCCTAACGGCCAACCATCTGACAGAATCGTTTTCTTCTTGAATGCTTTGCAATTATGGGTGAAGATCGGGTAATGATGTTCTGGAACCACGAGATCAGATTGGAAGGATTCTCTTGTGTCCATTGCAGAGAGAGGTCCGATGAGGCATCTGAGTTATTGGTTTTGAATGAAAGAGACTAAAATAGATGGCTTATTGGAATTTCGAGGCATAAATGTCGGCAACTTGCTTAGAAGCTTACCCAAATGAGTAGAAGGAATATATTAAACATTATTGTCAAGCTCTTGCTAAGTAATCAGTTTCCAATTGACAATTCTTACAATAGGCAAAATATATATATATATATATATATATCAGCAATGGAGATCCCACTGATGCAGAACATTTTTCTTGCTTGAGTGGTCTTCGGGGCTTCTTTATGATCAAAGATGAAATGGTAGATGGTGATGATTGAGTGGCGGCAGAGAAGAGCCAGGGAGGAATTACAATTTTTTCAAGTTTTTTTCCTCAGTTATAAATTTGACTTCAAAAAACAGTAGTGAGACGGATGCCATGTGCATGCTAGCGTTGGATTTTAACATTAGATTTTCATTCATGTAGGTTGACATTATTATGATTTTTCAACTTTCGGACAACATTGTTTCAAAAAAACTTCTTGATATCTGCAACTCTTTTATTTATACCATAACATAAATATATAAGTATATAAATATTAAAATGGTCCCTAATCAAACTCTTCACATTCTCTCTAACCATCCATCTTAATTTTTTTTTGCCAACAATAATTCATTCCACAATAAGTCAATAGTACAGAGTTTTGTGAGATCACCATAAAACAAAATAAATATCAGTCTACATTAGTTTCGGCATTACATAAATCAGATTCTGTAAGCCTATGCAAAGAAGTTGATGGCCTCATCACCCCATCAGTCAGGCAAGACCCAGCCAAAGAGACTCTAGCTACCCAATTAGCAACAGAATTTGTCTCTCTTGGGATCCAGCAATACGAGTGGCTCCTTGGACGGTATCTTGAGAACTGTAGATTTTCAAAAATAAAATAATTCCTCCAACCTGGGATAGGGTGTTTTTGTTTAAACAGTTAATCAGAGTTTGATTATCTGATTCAAACAGCACCTCATCAAAATCATTGCCATATGCGTAATTCATAGCTCATTGCAGTGCAGCACCTTCAGCCATCAAACTTGAATCTGCAGCAATTATTCTAGAAACTCCATCTAACACCCATCCATTAGAATCTCGAGCAACAAAAGCTCTAGCTGCAATATCATTATCAGGAGCTAATGTACAGTCCACATTAATTTTGATATATAGAATGATCACGTGCAAACTCTAGTTTGCTTTGCCTTCACTCTTCTTTTCAACCTCCTCATTAATAGCATTAGTAGCATTATTCCAACTTTTAGCAGTCTAGTGATCCTGAATCAAATCCTCTGCTTGTTTAAAGGTAAAGACAGGATTAGTGGTGACATTCTGAAATAAGAACCTGTTTCTACTCTTCCAAATTAACCAGAGAGTAGAGGTCGGGACAGCCTTTTGCCATTGAGACAGAAGCAAATAGCATAGGCAATGATTAAACTAGTCAACAAAGTCCACTGGAGTATAAACATCAAAATTAAAGGTAAAAAGGCTTCCAAATCAGGTTAATTTCATGCAATCGCATTCAAAAAAAGTGCTTCAACGACTCGCTTTTCTGCTTGCAAATCAGACATAAATCATACACGCTAACTTTCCTTTTGCACAAATTTTCAAAGGTGGGAAGAGCATTTTGCATCACCCTCCAAAGAAAATTTTTAATTTTACTGGGTACGTTCAACTTCCATAATTCTTTCCAAGAATTCTTTAAAGGATTATTAGAAGGACCCTGTACATTACAAACAAGATGAGAGCCACTCATTTTTGCAATCTTATGACCTTCCTTTACCACATAATTGCTCCTTTTCCCTGCAGCCCACAGCCATCTATCTTCTCAATTAGAAGAGCTTATAACAGTATTCAAGATGGCTCTTTTTTCAAAATCAGAAATGCAATTTTCAATGAGAGAGATTCCAACCATTAGGAGACAATAATTCAGCCACTGTAAGTTTTCTCATATATTCTGAAGGGCACTCAGAGAGAAGCTTCTTACCTGGAATATCAGCCAGCCAAGGATCGCCCTGAAAACATGTCATAAATGTAATTTATTCTTATATACACTACTGCATACCTTACGTTGTTGTATAACAAAAACGTTATTATACGGGTGTGTGTTTATGTGTGTGTGTGTGTGTGTGTAGAGAGAGAGGTGGGAGCCTATATATCTGTGCGTGTGGGTGTATTTAAGAGCGTGTGTGTGTGTTTATGTATGGCGATAGAGAGAGAGGTGGGAGACTATATGTGGGGGCATAAATGAAGATGCGTTTAACGTATACGAAGGCAAGGAAGCGTTACATTGAGGAAGATTGTTATGGAAATATAAAATAAATATTGATTATTTAATAAATGTAATAAATAATAATATTTCGGTATAGAATATAAATTAGGAAAAATGACAAAAAAGAAGTTACAAATTAGTAAATGCTAAATAAAGAATGTCAAAAAAAATTTGCTATCATTTGTAATTTCAGTGTTGTAAATACCGAATAAAGTGTTGTTATCAAACGTGGTTATATAGTATTTTTCATGGTTTTTTTTTTACAATAATGTTTTTACACCCTTTTTATATTATATAATTAAGTTTTTTTATATAATATTGTTTTTATCTTTTTAGAAGCCCAATAAAAAAACAAACATTATAACATAAAAAAATATATACCCAAAAATAAAATAATTTTTTTCTTAAAAAGAGAGAAATTGGGACATCCCGTGCTGTGAACACCTTTACTCGAATTATATATTTATATACTGATTTTATGTCTTTCTAGATAGTATTATTTTAGTATCATTTTCATTAAATGTTACTTCTTTGACATTTAATATAAGATCTATTAAACTAATTTGATTATATTAAAATAGTTAGGTAAATTAATTAATTATAAGAAGTATAATATATTTTTTCTAAAACATCATAATAATCTTTTTAATATCTTCCTTCCCTCTCCTACTTGATTATGGTTGAGAGAGTATCGATATATATAATTTAAAAAAAATTGATATATGTGAGAGTTAAGTCTTATTTTTAAAATCCAAATTAATTTAATAATTAGGTCATATATTAAGGACCAAAAGAGTTTTTTTTTAATTTTTTTAAATTTTGTAGTATTAATTTATTAATTACTTTAGAGAAGACTATAAATTCAACAACCAATTTATTTATGGATCAATGTGTAAAAATACCCATAAACTTATACTAAAAGTACAACTACCATCATAACCTTTTTTGAGGTGTAAAAGTACTCATATACTTGTAGAGTTAGAGCAAAAATGACATGGCCATTAAATTTGACTAACAATTGTTAGTTTTTTTATAGTAGAGCCCACGCTAATGTTATCACAGTACCGAAACCCCGCTAAATAAAAGAAACAAAAAAAAAAGATGAGGTGCAAAAATATCTATAAATTTTTAGTTCAAGTACACTAAATACCATATGTTTTTTTTTCATAAGTGCAAAAGTACCAATGATAGTGAAAATAAATTAATTCTTTCAGTTTTAGCCAAAAAAACTCTATTAAATTTTATCATACTATTATAATACTAATAATTTTAACGGTGGCTTTGTTGAAGTGCCCATGAACGTCTAAATAAGTTGATTACTTTTTTTAAAAAAAAAGTATTATACTATACTTTTGGACCTCTAAATTTGCATCAAGTTTTATTTTAACCTCTTAAAATTATAAATTTTATTTTTAGTCCATTAATATTTTTATATATTGAAAGATGATTGTTGATGTTAAAAATCAGACTACATCTTTATTAGGTTTTATTTTAAATATTTTTCAACTCACAAATTTTAAACTAAAGATTAATATTTCAATATCTAATTACAAAGTTACTATTTAAATTTGCTAGGTCAACCTTTATTATTAATGAAACTAACGGTGTTAACACTCAAGGAATTAAAAATACACTTTATAAATTTAAGGAGCTAAATTAAAACTTGATGTAAATTGAGAAGACCAAAGATGTATATTAACCATAAAATTTAATAGATTTTTGGAAAAATTGTAAATAAAACCCCTGAATATGTAAAATTGTA